CCAACACATGCTGGCTGGGGAATTCTGGGAGTTGAAATCCACTCATCTTAAAGTGGCCAGGTTTGGACAACACTGGTGTAGTATAATCCGTTTAGACTTTATATACTGTTAGATACTGTACTAAGGCATTTGGCTTCTGTGTAATCAACAATAAGCTATCATTTTATGCCTGTATCCATACAGTGGAATTAGGAATTGACAAGACTTGGTTCAGATATAATGCCAAAACTACAAGAATAAACTTTCAGTGACCTTTGGATAGTGAGTTCTCTTTCCCTCTCACGTAATTATCAAACTCTGATTCCTGGTTCATAGAGTAAGGACAAATCCATTTTAGGTAAAAGAACAAACTCTTGTTTCCCTCACTCTAGAAAAGGAAATAATATATTGTCACAGGTGTATAGAAAAAGATGTGTGCAAACTTGGGGCCTGGGTGAATAATACAAAACTAGGTTAAACTTTGCTATGAGAAAGCTTTCTGAGTCCTTTATTGATAAAATTTAGATACTTTGGCAGAAAAATTAAATTTTCTCTTTACCTCTGTACCTGAGTTGGTTTTTCACAATACTCTAAGCCATTGTCTGCTTAATCATAATTTGTTGAATCTCACTTCTTAAATAATAGCCAAATGCTAAACTTTATATTTATTTATTTATTTGAATGCAGCATAGATTTGTTTATTTGAATATTTTACTAGGTATGGTAGGAGCCTTACTTCAAAAAAACAAAGAACAAAGACATTGGCAAGGCCAATACAAAACCAAACTTGTTTTATTGTAAATATAATTTCAATGAATTAAATTCTGTTAATATAATTATTCCCCATTGTATTTAGTCATATACTCCATGTGTCACATTGGAAAGACTACTGTTCAATAGCAACTGTTGGAAAGGGTCTGGGGGAATAAATCCCCTGGCCTAAAGCACGATTTACAAGCTACAGTGGCTGAGTTCAACAGCATCTGAGCCCAAACCAAGCAAGCCATAATGTGGCTTAGTGTAACACGTAAACCCACTTGAACATTAAACTTAAAGGTTTTGGCTTACCTAGTAAAGTTTTGCTCCCATAAACAGTGTAGTATAGTGTAGTGATAAAGGTATTAGACTAAGAGTAGGGTGATCAATTCCTTGGTTAACCTCAGCCAGGGAAGGTCACTGAGTGTCTTTGGGCCAGTCACTCTCCCTCAGTTCCACCTACCTCACAGAAGAGTTATGGGGGGGGGGAAGAAGGAGGGAGCACTATGTATGCCACCCTGAGCTCCTGATATAGATAAAATAAATAAATATATCATGATTTCTTTTGCTTGCAGAAGGAGAGTTGCACTTAATTTCTGCCATCTCTGCGATTACATATGCTTATTCAGAAACAATGGGACTTTTATCTTTTAACAAAGAAGTTTAGCCTGTCTTCCTCTTTCCTTTTTCTTGCAGGATCTTATAAAGACCATGAGGACATGGGATGTCATCTCTGTGGCAGTGTGGGATATTGTGAGCCCCAGGGTGCTGACTACTGCTGCCCCTGTGACTGGCACTCTTCTGAGTCAGAGTGGCAACAGAGCTTAGTGGAAGAAGGTATTAAAAAGTAGGTGTGTTTTCATACAATCTTCTCTGAATTGCTTGAAGAAGACTTCTCAGTTCTACACCGTTCATGTTTCTGACACGTATGCATTTTATTTACAGAAAAGCCAAGGCATGTGAAGGTTTTCCCTTTCCTGAGGTAATTTAACAAGACATGCATGCATGCATAGATAGATAGGCAGTCAGATAGATAGATAGAATCACCTATCCTAGAGCTGTCCCCCCCAATATCTTATTCTATAAATAATGAATGCCTTATTTTTTCTTTTTCTCTGCTAAGGTTGTCCAAGAATATCTCATCAGCAAAGATAAACCAGTGAAACTAAATGGGAGCCAAAGGCCAAATTTATTATCCTTTCAAGTATGTATTAAGACACTATACCTTGCACGCTAAAATGTTCTGAATATTGAATATAGAATGACTATAACTGAGTCCAACCTTCTCTTGGTAGAGGAAACTGAATTAAAGCATCCCAAGAGATGGCTATACAGCCTCTGCTTTAAGACATCCCATGAAGGGGAGCGCATCCCTATCCGGGAAATTGCTTTCAGTGTAGAACTGCATGCTGTTCTACCACATAAACAAGCAGGGATGTAACTGCTGTGGTTTGTGTTGATGGAATTATACTGCTATCTCAATATCCTAAGTTTCAGGAAATAATCAGATATGACATTTGCAGATCTTCCTTCTAATAAGTGGGTTAGAATAGGTGTCCCAGGACTCAGTGGAATTTCTTTGACTAGAGGACTATGTTCTTAATGTCAACGGTTGAAAGTGTGTGTATATATGTTATTTACTCATTTATTTAAACACTATATGGCTGCCCATCTTATCATGGTTAAATGGATGTGGGTCAAGATGAATGGAGTGGGGGGTGAAGGGTAGGGAAGTTTATATGTTGGAGGAGAAAAATGAGACTTTGGACAAGCAAAATAAGATGGGAGAGATTCAACTTCAAATCCCCACGTGGACATGTCCCTCATTGAGCATTCTGGATGCCACCAGTTTTCAGTCTAACCTGAATAGAATGAAGGTTAGAGAAGAGAAACTTTTCAGCCACTCTAAATTCTCTTTGGCACACATAACAGCCTTCCCCCAACTGAGATTTCCTGATATTGAACTGTTATCGTTCCTACCTTCACTGACTGTTGTGGCCAATCTAGAGGACGCAAGTTTGGGAATAGAACTTCAGTGGATTTTATAATCTGGTTGTCTTCATAGGGCCTTCTTGATTTCCTCTTCTTTATATTTCTATATATGTTATATTTAAGGTTTCCCATCATGTTTCAAATAGAGATTTGCTGTCAAGAAAATGGACTGGACCGAGCATTATGCCTGTGAGAAATTGTGTAGCCTTTTGACTTATTACGACATGAACAGAAAGAAGTCTGGCCATACTGATCCGAACCAGCTGCAGGCCCTGCGGTAACCTAATTTATAATTTAATTAGAATTCACCCTTTGTTTTGCTTTGTATCTGTCACTGGAAGTGGAAAATATTTTTTGTTCTTTACCCATCGTCTTGATTCTGCATTTCTCATTTTGAACAAAATGACCTGCATGCCACATAGTGTTTTCAGTACCAAACACTGAATTATAGAGCTAGGAGGAATTATTTAGGCCATAAACCTGCTGATCAGGGCAGGAGTCCAAATGAAAGCATCTTGACAAATGTCTATTCAACTGTGCTTTGAACACAGCCAGTGAGGTAATTAGTTCTATTATTAATAGGTGCTGGCTTCTTAAAGCCAACTCTCCCTTTGGTGTTGGTTGTTGCATTAGTCCAGGAATGCCACCTGCGGACTTAATGTGCTGTCGATATAACTAAGACTCCCTTGTGAGTCTGTTGAAATACATTACATAGATTTGAGAAAAACATTCCACAGTTCAAAACAGCTTTTGAAACTGCTGCGGGTTACAATGCACAGTTCAAAGATTAGAAATTCTACTGCATCAACATGAGCATGAAGTTACAGGTTTTGGATCCTGGCCCATTTTCCAAAAGAAGAACAGCAAGATAAAGGCTGCTGCCCTCAGTGATCCCAGCAGCGAGATATGCTGGGCAGGAAAGTACATCTAGGAGGACCTCAAAGAAGAAGCCCTTCATTGTAAGGAAACATAAAACTACTGGCACTGTTTTGATAACTGCCCACTCATAGTTATCCTGCTTGGCTGTGTGAACTAACATAGGTAATCATCTTGAATGTGTGGATTGTGGCTATAATTCATTGCCTTTGTAACACTGAATTGAGGTACTCCTAAGTGATATTTACAGAACATGGAAGGATATGCATGTTAATGGTAGCCAGGTCTTAAGTTATCAACACTGAATAATGCAGAGATAATATTATAATAATTGCACTACCGCCCCGTTTCTAAGGGCATCCTACACAAACTGAGCATATGGGAACCTCTTCTCTAAAATGCTCTCTCGTGCTTGTTGACACACATTGCTAGAACCATATAATCATGATTATGAGAGAGCTATAAACTGACTAAGGTTGATCAGGTGACAAAGAGCCATGGTACAAGTTTTCCCCACCCGACTGTATTCCAACTCAGGGCAATAGCCACATAATGATAAAGGACCATGAAAGCAGTCCCTGTGTGCAGGATGGTCAAGCGTGGTGGCTCCTTGATTCTTAAATGCCTTATTTCATTTTTCCACCCTGTATTTACATTTCTAGGATTTTCTTAACTTTTCTTTCTACAGGATAATCAAGACACGGATTAAAAATGGAATTCCTAGTTTTGAAATTGTATGGCGAAAGCCAGGTTAGTACTCTGTACTGGGCATACTAGAAGGGTGCACTCCAGTACAATTTACAACTGGAATAAGATATCTCTTAAGAGGTGGGCATGCTAGGATACAGCGTACATGAGACCTATCATAAGACTTGCTTAACCGTGTGTAAATATTAAATAAAACTATAATAGAAATGAAAAGCAGAATAATGTCAAAACTGGATTTTGGGGTCTTTGTTCTCCATAAAATTACCGCTTTGAAAATGAGTTCATGCAGGCTTCCTGGCTTTGGCCCTTTCTTGGTCCAGGGTTTCTGTAGTTTCCTAACTATCTTCAGGCAGAACTGGGGAACTTTTCTTTCTAAAATCCTTGAGACCAACTGCCAGGCAATAATGAATGAGTGATCTGACTTGTTAGAGGAAAATTTCATATGCACAGTGGGAGAGGGCGGCTTTTAAAATGAGAATTTCTTTTTCTCAGTTTCCAGCGCTTCCAAGCATATGTTGCATGCCCTGTACATTGTACAGTTATACTGTAATTTCCCATAAGGCTAAATCCATCTCCCATCATACTGCAGGTAGGGTCCACAAATATGGCTGTGTGAAGAATTTGTCAAAACACAAGCACAGATGTTTATGGATTGCATGCAAAGTAACAAGGAGAGACTGCAGTACGAGTTATAGGTGGGGGCCTCATGAACTGGATCAGCAGAATACAGATTCCAATCACAAAGAAACAACCATTTGTTATGTTCCTTTTTTTAAAGGGATGAGTATGAAAGAGCCACATGTTCCTTGGAAAAGAGTAATTAAGGAAATCATCTTATCTGTAGTTATCTAGTAATAGGATGTTCCCCTGCCTCTGCTTCATTGTTCCAGACCATTACTCTGCTGCAACAGAGGATCAACCTGCTGATCCCTTTCTAATAACAATAGAAGAGTCGACATTATTTCAGGCTGCCTATCCTGAAGTGGTTGCTTTGTATCAAATGGAGAAGTTGAAAATTGGCAAAGAAAAAAAGGAAAGTAAGCTGGAAACATTAGATGTTTTGTTTTGTTTTGTTTTATATCTTAAACAGTCACTGTGTTCTTTCTTTGTGCTTATCAAATTGCAGTTATTCTACAGAATTTTCTGCACCCTAGTTAGATTTTAATGAAGCCATCTAGCTCACCCCTTTCTCCCACAGTTGCTTGATCACACTTAAAATCAAAAACATGTTGCTTCTTTAACTTCATCTGTAATTCTGAAAATTTGTTTTTAACATAGTATCCTTGTTTTCTTTGGTTTGTTTGCTGCTTTAGGTAAGAAGAAACCTAAAGAGAAAGAATGCTTAGCAGGGGACAGCAAAGTAGAAGATACTTTTTCTTACCTGAACTTGCAATCTGTGTGTGAAAACATTCTCAGCCAAGATTCAAAGTCTGATTTTGATTTGCAAAAATTTCCAAAAAAGAGCTGTGAATCTCTGTGTCTCTCTGAACCTGCAGATTTTTCTACTGCAGTAGGAAAGCCCTGCAACTTCCTTATTGCTTCACAAAATACAGAAAATGAATATAAACCTCCTAATTCTTTAATCTCACAAACAGAATTATTTGCTAAGGAGCTGATGGCTTTTTCTGCAAGTACTGATCTGCAGCTGAGTGACACTGACTGGGAAGGAACATCCTTCAGCATGTCTCCAAGGAATGTTAATCTTCCTTCATATTCAGAATGTGAGTCTGGCCTATGCAATAATTCTTTAAGGCAGTGCTCTCCACCGTACAGTAAAACAGCCAACTTCCTTGCACAGCATTCAGATTCTGCACAACATGGTCCAGATCTGGTCAGTGGTGTAGATCACGCTATTTCAAACACAGACTTTCCTAAAGAGCAGAATGATTTATCTTTAAAAGATCAAGCCTTTGTGGAAAGTTTAGAAGCTCTCCCCAAAGCTAAAAATGTGCCTTTGTTAAATGCCATACAGTTGCAAGAACAAATAAAGAGAACTTCTAACCCTGAAGGGGAATTTTCATCTCCTACTGACAGCACTCAGGAAATTGAAAATGTGATGTTACTGGAAAAACACCTGCAGGGGTTAAGCTTAGAGAACTATAGAGAACATCTCCAAACTTCTGGGAACCCACAATCTGCAGCCGATAAAGTCACGGATTCAGGAAGTTCTTTGAGGTTGTGCACTGAAATGCTAGAACTGACTTGCTTAGAAAACAAAGAGCAAATTTTGCCTGCTAGGTCAAATAAAGTCCTAGATAACTGTCAGACTGGGAAAAAGTCTGTGCCAAGAATCATGAAAACCTCACTTAAGAAGAGTGTGTGCCAAACTAGTTATCATGCTGAGGACAGTGATAGTGAAAATGTGATGGGCAGGAGGAAAGGTCATAGGATCCCAAAACAGCAAAGAAAGAATCATACAGTTCAGCTGAAGGACAAGTGCAATGGCAAAAGGGGCAACAAGGAATTGGCATTTGAAATTCAGCCAGAACCAAAGGGGAAAGATAAGGATACTCTTAAATTACTTAACACTAATTTATCAGCTGAAGACCATCTGCTTCTACCTCTCTCCAAGTCTCCAAGTCTCTCCGAGTATTGTGGATTTGATCCTTGTCTTCAGGAGACCAGAAATGATTTGAACATGTGGTTTGAGAGTCCACTGCCTCTGTCTGAAAGACTGAAGCTCAAATTGCAGAGCAGTTGAGAACTTCCTGCTCCCCTCTCCCTGATGTCTTTATCCAGATATGTCTCAAATGTCTTGATATGTTTTAAATGTCCTCTAAATTTAGTAAGCTCCATAACTTAATTGTGAGTGGTGGAAAATTGGAAGTAGGATCATGTCTGAAGTGAAATGACTGTCAAATTAAGTTCTTCGAGCAACCTTTCCGTAGTGACTTCCTCTAATTCTGACTAATGGACATGCTGCGAGTTGTGCTGAAGTTTTCCTAAACAATTTGCTTGAGTAGAAATATCAGTTACACCACAATGGTATGAACTCAATAATAAATAAATAATAATGTTGGGGGTTTTGCCGAGTATTAAACATGTAATAGCTTGCTCATATATATCTGGATGACAGTAGTAAAGCTGCTGATATTTTTACACTTACTGATTGGGTTTAGTATATGTTTTTGCTATACTAAAAAAGTAGTATAGCAAAAACATGTACTAAAAAAGTATATATTGTGCTATATATAGCTTTTCAGGTCCAAATCAAATAATGCTCTAGATCCAGCCTTAGAGTCAATCCCTACACATACAACAGAGTTAAGTGCTAGAATTGTGAAGTAGTAAAATAGCAATTGGAGATAGCAATTGGGAATTATGCCTGTAAGATACTTTTTGGAAATAGAAATCTAACTTAATCAGAGAGGACTACTACAGCCTAGTAGTACCCTTCATCTGCTCTTCATTTTCTCTTTGGACCAGATTTCTAACTTGGGATCATATGTTCTTAGAGTCATAAGGGTTTTCATTTGTAACCATATATAAACCCTGTTTTTAAACAGAATTCTTCCTCTCAGAATTATGAATGTTATATGCTGTTGCAAATCAAGTGCTATTGGATACTCTTAGGAGGTGTGGTTGTGTAGATGTACTGTATCTAAGTCTTTGGATTTGTTTTTAAGGCACCAGGCTAGAAACTGGGAGACTGTGAGTTCTAGTCCCGCCTTTGGCACAAAGCCAGCTGGGTGGCCTTGGGCCAGCCCCTCTCTCTCAGCCCTGGGAGGGAGGCAAGGGCAAACCAGAAAACTCCAGAGACTACTCCAGGCAGTCACCAGGAGTCAACACTGACGTAAAGGCACCAAAAATATTTTTCCCCCATAGGTTAGCATATTGGGCAGAAGATTCAACTTAATGTATTTAAATTTTGTTTATTGGCAAAATTTTATAGCAGGACCACAAATGCCTTGTGTCAAGGAAATACAGCTCAGAGAATACGCTACATCTATGAGCCTGTTTAGGTAACAGAGTTAAAGTAACGCTGATCTTATCATTTGAATCTTAGACGGGCCAACTTTATAAAAAGCAAATCACCAAGGTGCTGAAAAAGGTGTGATTTTCATCGTTTAGAAACCTCTTTCTGTGAGGAGGTTCTTGGAATTATAAAATATATTTAGGATGCTGATTACGTTTTGTCACATCTTTATTAACAGATTAATCAGCTACTTGTATTACGAGTTTGTACACACAACCACTGCAACTAGGTTTGACATATGCTGTATTATAATTTGTCCCAAAGGGACATCACTTTGGGATGAAGCCCCATAAAAATCAGCGGGTTTTCTGTGTGAACATGAATAAGACTGATTTAGTTTTCACTGAAGCAATTAGCCTAAGACTGGGCAAAATTGTTTCAAAGTTCAAATAAAAATTCCATGAGGAATACGGTACTCCTCTGCAAAAAAGAATGTTCTTTTTAAACTGGAAAGACTAATATGAATAAATCAAATGTCATCACAATCATTTCCATAGGCCAAAATTGTACAGCCAGACAAAGGGTTAGCAATTCAGCAAGAAGTAAATGTAGATCTCATAAATGTGTCAAGGTGTTTGGAATGCACATTAAACTGAAAAATATTTTCCAGTGATTGCAGCTATTGAAATTATTACAGTATATCTAAGAAAAAAGAATTTGAGAAGCTTCTCTGAACTTAAAGCTGTGTCAGTGTTGACTTCAACATGCAGAGTTGGCTCAACTTAGTATTTAAATGAGTTAAATATTACTTACCACCTTCCACATTCCTTAGCAATTCATAACTATATTACATATAGCTAAATATATGTTAAATAATACCTCATTCTTTATCATTTTATATATTACAGAAAATGCAATGCACCTTTTTATCCAAAACAGAAAACTTCACAGAAGAATTATTCTTAGAATGCAGAGGTGCAAAATAGCAAATACTTTCTTAACATGCCAGCAAAACTTCTCAATGGATTTCTTGCCCCAGATTAATTCAGTTTTGTTTGGATACAAATATAAAACTATGACAAAAAATATCAATTGTTAAATTCCTATGACTTTTCCTTTTATTGTACAGGCTTATGATTTTAAGCTGTAAATTTTGCTATTTGACAACAAAGGAAAGCTTGAATAAAACTAACAGATAATAGCTGCCTCCACATTTAAACAGTGATAGAAATACAAAGTATTTGTTTCCTGAAGAGCAAAGTGCTAAAACTAGCACTGTGTTTTACTGTTCACCAGTAGCACTTAGTTTATAACAGATCTAGTAATATTGCTAACTGTGGTTTCCTTTCATCTGTTGATGCAAAATAGCAGGGCTTCACACTTCCATAGACATGAAAAGATTTTTACCTTGACTTGCGACACCGCCTCCATTAATCTTCCACATTTTATTCCAACCGTGTTAATGCTAAAATTCTCAGAGATGGCTTCAAGATAACCTCCTTATAAGTAGAAATTGGTCAGGGAAGAAAATTGTCACAAGATTCTTTTTCTGTCTTCAAAGGTGAAAAACTCATTTTTTTTAAAGTGAAGGTCATCTCCGGAAGGTATATAAAAGTTTTGCTAATTGCCCTATTCACTGTTAAATAAAATTGTTATCAGAGGACTAACTATAGTTGGATTTCTCTTTATATCAGTCCAACAATAAAAGATGTAACAAATACTGAAGGCATCCATAGGATGGAATCAAAAAAGAGAAAGAAGAAAGCAAGACTCTATCTATATATCTATTTATTTATTTATGGCTCAAAACCCTGTTTCTACCAACTGTTTTTTCCTATATGTCATGAACTGAACTATAAAAAGGATGGAAATGCATCAGTGTCATGGGAAGTATGTTAGATGATAAGGTTACTGGCAGGCAGTACTGCAGTTGATGCATCGGGATATGGGTAATATTGAGAGCAAACAAATTAATTTTGCATCTTTGTTTGTACCTTCATCAATGTTAATGTCTGATTCCTGAGAGTGCCATCAAAGCAGCTGCATATTGTACCCAGTCGGGCAACGAAGGCTAGAATTTGGGGGCCAAGGATGAAGCCCCAATAGCCCCTAGAATAAGGAAACCGCAAACATCCAATAAGGCTGACATTGCTCAACCCAACATCAAGGTTTTAATCAAGGTGACCATATAGATGTGTACAGAATTATAACTACTCATTTAATTTGCCTGGAGTCTGCAACAAAATGGTGTTTATTCACAAGTAAGACATAGAGCTATTTAAGGGAGGCCCTGTATGATTGCCGAATTATCTCCATCCTTAACTAAATCATTGATCATCGAATGTTTTGCACTGCCACTGCAATAGTCTTTTTCACGTCTGCTACGTGGGAGCTAGCTTTCTGCACTCCTATATTCCCTAGGAAAGCCACATATATTTCTCAGAAGAATCACTAGGCAACTTTTCAACATTCGCATAGCCAATTTAACATTGCCTCTCAGCATCTTGCTCTTCTGCCCTAGCCAGTCGAGGCGAATGGATGAGCCCATGCTTTTCGGGTGATGAAGATGCTTCTGTTCCCCCTCATCTGCTTAGTGTAGTGTAGGCTGAGTTGGAGTTGAGATCACAACCTATATCCTGCTAGAGGAGAAAATCACTCAACGGTACATAGACTTCTCTAAAGTTACTGATGTTTGGATCCTAAATTGTTACATGCATAAACCAGTAAGGGTGAACTGGGAATTCTACTTGGCATGCATTATAACTTGGGGGGGGGGCATACTGCAGATATACCCCAGTTCCCTAGAAAGCTTCATCTTGTCCCAGAGTCGCGACCGGAACAAAAAGAAATACGAGCTAGATTTTCTTACAAAGATCATCTATGCAAGTAATGGGGAAACTATATAGAGATGTCTTAACTGTAAGAATGAAATATGATTCCAGTTTGTAAATATACCTTAAAAGGTATTATATAAGTAGATGTATGTATATTCATGGTGAGAGAGATTGCTTTTAGATATTTTAGATGATTCAATAAAATACACCAGGAGGAACATAAAAAAAAAAATCCTAGCTCTATATTTCACAGAAGTTAATGGCATTTTGGAAATGGGTAATGCTGTAGTATAAAGTACAACTTTACTGTTTAATACCTATGATGGTTTTCTTTTCACCATTTGATTCCTTCATCAGCAATTATCCCCAACAATTATTGATAGGTGACTTGACAAATTTAGGGAGAAATCATTCTTGACTAATAGACTTTCATGCTATTGTCTGACTAAATTGGGAAGGCAACAACTCTGAATAGGCGATAAATATGTTGTCTTTGGCCTTTCCTTTTCAGCCTGCTCAACCTAATTTGAGTCTTTGGCACCAAGGTGTTAATGCAAGGTTTGTTCTCTTCAACATGATGGCAGGTGACTTGCATTTCAGAGTCTGATAGATTTATAGTCTTTGATCTTTTACCCACCAGCTTGCATCCTCTGTTAGGGTATGGGTTTGTTTTTAATCCGGTGACAAGCCATGAAAAGACTAGCTTCTCTTCAGAGCAGCCCTGCAAATCTGCTTCAGCGTTCAGCATCCACAAGCATATTTATTAGGTAATTATACTGGGGCCAACATTTATTTCCAATTCAGTAATGTAGGATTACTAGCATATTATAATCCTTTGTGTTGTTAGGCAGAAATAAAATTGCAATTATACACATGTCTTACCACACTCCATAGGACCTACTTCTGAATAAATGTGCCTAGTATTTCACTGAAAGATCCTTTGTGATTAAGTGGTAAGTATGCATAGGATTGGAAAATTAAGCTGATTTATAGCAAACAAAAGGTCACTATTGTAAATAACAAAATCCAAAATTGTGCTGAGATGGAATAGTTATCAGTATGACATTAAGCTGACATACAATGACAGCACAAACAAAATATTTAAACCGCTTCCAAATACTTTTTATCCCTCAAATAATGTTTGAAAGTATCTGTTCCAAAACACAGAATCTTATTTTATTTCTATTTTTATATAATTCCAGGCTAGATATAGAAACCCAGATAGCTTCTTTGGCAAGGAGCAACTAGTGCCAACACCAGTTTACCCTTTCCCATGGCACACGCATTTCTAATACCCACTTGGAGGTTACATTCTTCATGGGGGGGGGGGCCTTCCTTTGAGATTGGCCCAGGACAGAGAAGAATGGTCTTGAGTCTGGTAGCAGGATTTGTTCAGATCATATCAGTGTTGAGGAAACTACTCTGGCTACCTTTCTACATGATGCTGAACTACTTCCAGCTGATCTAAAAGATACCCCTATTTGTAAGCATGTAAGACTGAAGTGTTCATCAGGGATTTTGTAAGTGGCAAGTCTGAGACACTTTCTCAAATTACTGTCTTGCTGTGGACTCAGATTTCTCTTATTTTGACTGTTGTCTTGGTTGCAGCCATTCTTCCTGTTCCTCAAGGTTATTCTC